TCGCTGTGTCTCCCCTCCCCCACCCCCTGGAAGGCCTCCCTGAGCTGGTAGGGTTTCAACCTTTTTTAAAAAATATATATTTTTATTGATTTGAGAGAGGAAGGGAGAGGGAGAGAGAGAGAAACATCCATGATGAGAGAGCATCATGGATCAGCTGCTTCCTGCACGCCCCCTACTGGGGATCGAATCCGCAACCCGGGGATGTGCCCTGACCAGGAATCGAACCCGGGACCCTTCAGTCCTCAGGTCGATGCTCTATCCACTGAGCCAAACCCATTAGGGCTATTTTTATTTAAAAAAATAATTTTGAACTTTTCTGTAAAAGGCAATCCATGTCTGGAAAACTTAAAACAGCCTCAACAAGGATAAATGACTGCGATGGGTTGGAAGACAAGAAATGCACATATTACATCCTCCACCGAGGGCCGCCGGCGCCCAGGGCCAGGGCGCCGCTGTTGCCTTCATTCTGAACGATTTAAAGAAAGGGAACGCGTCAGGCACCCCTCTTGCCCGACCTGAGCGAACTGCATCTCAGAGAAAGTTCTTTTTAGAAAAGTCCAGCCAGGACGGGAGGAAGGAGCGGGAGGATGAGACAAGCATCGTGCAGCCCTCGAATGAAAGGATCCAGGCCTCTGTCGCCCAGAGGTGACCACCCAGAGGTTGGCGGGGGAACCAGAAAATGAAGGGCCCCAAGTCCTCTGGACCTGGACCCCCAAACTTAGTAGCAGGAAGGACCCGCGCCACCTACGCTGGCTTCTTGCCCAAACGCGTGGACACCCCGGAAAAGAAACCATAATTGTTGCCAAACCAAAGAGTGAAAAATCGCATCTTCTTCCCCAGCTTACATTTTTCTGGATCCCTGGCGAGGTTTTCATATATTTATTGGCCGTATACTTGACCTTTTTTAAAAGTACACGTTTTAGTTGAAGTTGAGCATGCAAACAGGGAAATACACGGATCATACGGTGTCTCCCCGTGGATCCACGCAGCGCACGGGCGACCAGCGCGCACTGGAGAGGTGGGACATCGCAGCTTCCCGGGAGGCCTCCTTCGGCCCTTGCCATTCGCTGGTACCCGCTCCAAAATGTAGGGATGCATTTGGCCTGTTTTTAAACTTGATATGAATGGGACCCCAGCATAGAGGCTCGCTCCTGATTGGCCTCCTTTGTTCAGCATTACGTTTATGAGATTCATCCCTTCTTGCTTTACAGAATGATCTTCAACTCTCCAAAAGATAACCTCAGGTCAGGGGCACCTGCCAAGGTTGCAGACTCAATCCCCAGTCGGGGGCGTGCAGGAGGCAACCAATCAATAATCCTCTCTCATCATTGGTGTTTCTATCTCTCTTCTTCAATAAAAATATATTTTTTAAATGACTTTATCTTTTCTAAATGTCTAAAATAACTCCTGGTGTCTTCACCTTTTTTTCGGTAATGATTTAATTTAAATGTTTGCCTTTAATGGGTTAACGCTTTTAACAGAAAAAAAAAAGCGACACGATATTACCGTTCTGTTTGCAAGATAATTACAGGATTCAGGAAAACTATTATTTCCGAGTGCACTGCAGACGGTGTGATGTGTAATGAGAGGTTAAAGCGAATAGATGCCTTCTCCTTTGACTCCTTCTGTTCCTGTCAAGGAAATAATACCTTTTTACTACACAACCAATGTGAGTTTGCTACAAGATAATCAGAAAATGCAAATGAGCAACAACAAAAAAAGGGGAGAATCCGTTTGTATTAAGGGGAGGGTTGTGTTATGAAAGGTGACAAAACATTCCCAAGAAGCCAAATTAATATTAATAGAAAAATTCAGACTAAGAGACGCAGAGGACACCCAGTGGAAACAGCCTGCGTTTAAACTGGACCGCCTCGAAATTGGCCCCGCCCAGACTCCAGCCAGGCCCCGCCTTCCCTCCTAGCCCCGCCTTCCCTCTTAGCCCCGCCTCCAGCCCCGCTCTTCGAGGGTCCCGTTAGTTCCAGTTCTCGCGAGAACGCAGCCCGGAAGTTTTGCGTCCGGAGCGGTAGTGCAGGAACCCACGTGGGCTGGTCTTGGGGGTGCGCTGCCGCTGTCCGCGCCGTGGCTGAGCGGGATCGGGGCG